TTTTATTTATATATATTTATATATATTATTTTTATATATATATATATATATATAATATATATATATATATATATATATATATATAATATATATATATATTATATTTTTATTACATGCATGCATGCATGTACATTCATATGTAGTGTGACCCAAGTGTAAGTAGAAATAGCAAGAGATACTTTTTTTTTTTCCAACAAACCGGCCATATCCCACCGAGGCAGGGTGGCTCAAAAAGAAAAACAAAAGTTTCTCTTTTTAAATTTAGTAATTTATACAGGAGAAGGGGTTACTGGCCCCTTGCTCCTGGCATTTTAGTTGCATCTTACAACACGCGTAGCTTATGGAGGAAGAATTCTGTTCCACTTACCCATGGAGATAGGAAATAAACAAGAACTAGTAAGAAAATAGAAGAAAACCCGGAGGGGTGTGTATATATATGCTTGTACATGTATGTGTAGTGTGACCTAAGTGTAAGTAGAAGAGCAAAAAGTACCTGAAATTTTGCATGTTTATGAAACAAAAAAGACACCAGCAATCCTACCATCGTGTAAAACAATTTCAGGTTTCCGCTTCACACTTGGCAGGACGATAGTACCTCTCAGGGTGGTTGCTGCCTACCAACCTAGTACCTTTATTTCTTGAGTTATTCAACTTTATTTCATGTCCTTTCTATATCTCCCAGCTTCATATCCTGGTATTTTTGAGGGTTAAATTTCAGTAAGTCTTTGGGATAATTCCTGAAGTTAATCAAACTTTCATCCTGGAATTTAACTATAGTAACCAGGTCATTTTTATATACCAAAACTGATATTAGTGGAACTTTACCAGTTAAATTCTCCCATCCTGATGTTTCATTCCTTATAGCAGGGCCCTCCAACCTTTTTCACTATGGATGCCACATCATATATTTTACACATTTTTTGAGGGCCCAAGAAAAAAGATAAGTCTAATAAATTAATAAATATAAATGAATAAAATTTAACCCTCTAACTGTCCAAACATAGATCTGTTTGCGCGTGTAGCGCTCCACCCTTGATTTTCTCCGTAAGAAAGAATGTAAAAAAAAAAAAAGTAGATTCTACGTTCAGAGCGCCATGCAAGCAAACGTAGATCTATGTTTGGACAGTTTAAGGGTTAAATGAATGAATAAGAGACTGAAGTGACTTTCAATGAGTGTTCATTAGTTTTATTATTTATAAATATTTGAAGTTGCTGAGCATGACATAGGGCCCATGGGCCACAGTTTGTCGACCCCTGCCTTGTAGTGACTTTTTCCTAATGCTTAAGTATTCCACTCTACATGTTAATACTTTTACTTCATCTTGCATTTTTTTCCCAACAAGTCGGCCGTCTTCCACCAAGGCAGGTGACCCAAAAAAGAAAAACACTTTCACTATCATTCAACACTTTAACCATCATTCACACATAATTACTGTCTTGTACAGTGAAACCTAGTTTTCGTATGATTCGGTTTTCAACGACTTTTTTCATCAAAATTTTGTCCTAGTTTTCGTACATCTGCTCGGTTTTCGTACAGTTGAAAATGGTCCATACCAAACTCGTCTGCATGCCCACGTGACTCGGCCACTCATTTTCTGGAATCGAGCTCCCACACAAAGCATCCCACAAGGGGTTTCAGGCTGAACCTGATGACCCTACACCTGTTGTGGAATCTATTGTGTCTTTGGAGAAATCCATGGGGTTGGCTGTGAATGGCCAGGATGTGGAAGAGTTAGTGGACAACTGCACGGAAGAGCTAACCACTGAAGAGCTGCAAGACCTTCAACTGGAACAGCAACAGACTGCAGCTAAGGAAGTTGCTTCAGAGGAGGAAGAGAGAGGGGAGACTGTGCCTTCTTCAGTGATTAAGGACATGTGTGCAAAGTGGAATGAGTTGCAAAGTTTTGTGGAGAAATATCACCCTAACAAAGCTGTTGCAAGCCGTGTCTGCAACATGTTCAGTGACAATGCTTTGTCCCATTTTAGGCAAATCTTAACCCTTTCAGGGTCCGTCCCGTAGATCTACGGCTTTACGTTCAGGGTCCAAACCGTAGATCTGCGTCATGAGCTCAGCTCACTCTGATAAACTGTGAGTGGTACATTTGGGCCTAGATATGAGAGAATACATCTATGTGGTATGTGTGCACCACATAAAACAGATCCTGCAGCACACTGTATATAATAAGAGAAAAAAAACTGAAATAATGATTTTTCGATTAAAACAGCGACTTTGCAGTGTTTTTTCGTATGTTTTTTATAGTTGTATTTGCGATTTCTTGGTCTCGTTTGATAGAATGGAAGGCATATTACAGAAATAGAAATAATTTTGATTGGTTTTAGCACTGGAAATGGCTTGAAACTGAGCTCAAAGTAGCAGAAATGTTAAATTTTTGCCGATATTCAAGAGTAAACAAACGACCTCACACGTCTAATACACGTCAGCTGGTGGGTCTAATATGCATTCACAAATATGGTGATGATATTTATACAATTATTACAGTATTGCATAACAGTAAATCTTCTATTTTTTGGTGTGAATAAAAATTCATTATGTGAATAAAAAATCAAAATGAAATTTATTTGTAAAGCCTCAAAACGTAACTAATGAGCAGAGGAAATGTTAGTTTAGTTCCAGGAATACCTACATTGTTTATTCTGGACCCTATTTTGAAATTGGAATATTTTGAACTTTGTGTTAAATTGGCCAAATTAACAATTTCCGATCACTTTAATTTGTAGTTGAAACAGTTGACTTGGTGAATTCTTGTGCTCAATCGATAGAAGTAATACTAGTGAAATAGCTAAGAATTTGGTCGACTGGAATAATATAATTGGCCTAAAATGGGAGTCAAAGTCGGCAAAATCGCCGATTTGTAAATATCACTGACACATCAAAATTCGCGAGAGCATAATTTCATCAATTTTCCATCAAATTTTGTACTTTTTGTTTTATTACCTTCACAGAAAGATTCTCTACCATTTCATAAGAAAAAATAAAAATTTTTTTTTTTTTGAAAATTCTTGGACACTGGGGCACCACTTCAGATTTGGGCCTTGGACCCTGAAAGGGTTAAAGAGATGACAGAAACAGACACCTCTGGACAGATTTTTTTGCTACAAGGGTCCAGTGACTCACAAGCTGGTCCTAGTGCCAGTAAAAGATAAAGAAGGGAAGTAACCCTGGATAGTGCCTTGATACCTGATTTCCTTATGGATGGGGATTTCCCTTCCAAACAATAACTTCTCCTCGCTCTCCCCTCCTCGCTGTCTTCCATACATTAACATGAGTTGTCAATAAAGGTAAAAGTGATGTTGAATGCTCATTTATCCATTTCATTAGTCATTTATATTTATTTTTCATTGTTTGCCGTATGTAAAACTAGATAGTTATTCTCTATAAATTTTTTTTTTTTTTTAATATTTTTGGGTGTCTGGAATGGATTAATTGGATTTACATTATTTCTCATGGGAAATATTGCTTCGGTTTTCGTACGATTCAGTTTTTGTAAGACACACTCAATCGGATTAATCACGAGAATCGAGGTTCCACTCTATATGGCATACTATTGAAAGCCTTTGTACAGTTGAGGACTGTACAATTTACCCATCTCTGCCTCCCTCTCTTACCTGATCTCAGTTAGTCGATTATGTCTTTGTAATCATTGAGTGTGGTAGCACACAAGAAGAAAAATAATAATAATTGCTGATTACATGATAGATGATAGGCTTTGGTTAATTGTAATTACAATTTTGGTAATAAGATAGATTAAAACAGAAATAAATTATTTAACTTTATTGAAAATTATTTAATATATTACTGTATTATGAACTGTTAATGATATTAACTATTCCAAGCAAGAATTCTTGGTCAAAGTAGAATTTTTTAAACTAGTGTTCATAACCTTTAATTTTAATTAGCATAATTTGTTTGACTTTGCAAATAAATCATATACACGAATGTTTGTTCATATTTTCAGTATCTGCAACAGCATTTTACAAAGCTCAAGCAGTGATAGAATTTATGTGTGAAGTGTTGGATATACGGGAAATTGGCGAGCAGCGAAAACCTCTTACCGACTCTCAACGTGTGAAGTTCACTAAGGAAATTAAGGGATTAAAGGTAAAGTATGTCTTTCTAATCAGTATAATTATTTTGCTTTCTTCATTTTTTATTGTTAATGTGCATAAGTATTATTTTCTTTTTATTAATGTGTGTTAATAATTTTTAAGGGGTATATCTAGAATATCGAATGGTATTTGGGACCTGACGAGCTGTTGGAGTGTGAGCAGGGTAATATTTAGTGAAGGGATTCAGGGAAACTAGGTATTTTTATATAGCCATACTTGAGTCCTGGAAATGGGAAGTACAATGCCTACACTTTAAAGGAGAGGTTTGGGATGTTGGCAGTTTGGAGGGATATGTTGTGTATCTTTATACGTATATGCTTCTAAACTGTTGTATTCTGAGCACCTCTGCAAAAACAGTGATTATGTGTGAGTGAGGTGAAAGTGTTGAAGGATGATGAAAGCATTTTCTTTTTGGGGATTTTCTTTCTTTTTGGGTCACCGTCTCGGTAGGAGACGGCCAACTTGTTAAAAAAAAAAATCTAGAATATCATTAAAAATTTAGAAAGTTAGGGAAATTCAGAGAATGGGTTTATTCTGTTACCAAACTATTGATTGTGTATATGATATACATAAAAGTATACTAATTGTGCTTAATATAAGTTAAAATTATATGCAGTGAAATCTTACTTTATTGGACTAATGGGGGAGGGGGGTGTTCTGTAAGTGACTGGATTAGCTCTCAAAATTGCAGAGGTTCTGAACCTCTAGAATTCTATTCCTGAAGCTTTTGATCGTCTGAAAAATTTAACAATAGCATGTTAACAGTATTTTTATCTACATATTCATGTGAGACACTAGTTACACTGATGAATTTGTGAAATCTAATTGCCGTATATGCACTATGTCGACCATACACAGTACACAATTAAACAAGAGCAACATGACTCGTGAGATTGTAATAACTTGTTAGTAAACAAGCCATGGCATGGGTGGGGCTTGAACCCATGATGAGTGAGTCGTGAAACTCCAGTCCAATGCATAAACCACTCGGCCAGCGGAGGGAAGGTGAGGTAGGGGCCGTCCTAGGAAAGGATGGAGGTAGGGTAGAGGAGGTTCTGTGTGCAAGGAGCTTGGACATACAGCAGGCCTGTGTGAGGGTGTTAGAAGTGAGTGGAGACAAATGGTTTTTGGCCTTTGATGAGCTGTTGGAGTGTGAGCAGGGTAATATTTTGTGAAGAGATTCAGGAAACTGGTTAGCCACACTTGAGTTCTGGAGGTGGGAAGTACAGTGCCTGCACTCTAAAGGAGGGGTCTGGGATATTTGCTATTTAGAGGGACCTCTAAACTGTCATATCTGCACAGCTCTGGCAAAACAATGACTGTGTGAATGATGGCAAAAGTGTTTGTTTTAGGTCCCCCCGTCTCACTGGGAGACGGTCAGTGTGTTAAAAAAAAAATAATCCTGATATATTGTGCTGAAGTTAAAAAGGAGCTATATTGTAGCCTAAATGCTAGACCTCCATCTTTTCAGATTGAAATAACTCACTGTGGTGCAATGCGAAGGAAATACCGTGTGTGTAATGTAACCAGAAGACCTGCTCAAATGCAATCGTGAGTAATATTATTTTACATTGCTTAATGCGCAGTTTATAGTATATGTAAAATATAATACTTTGACTTGCTTCAACTTTGTTGATTGCATTTTTTATTTGTTCATTAGTCACATGATTTATTATTCATACTTTTCTAGGCAGCTAACTGAAAATTGTTAAACCAAAAAAAAAATGTTAAAGCTTAGTCAGTGTCAGATGGGATTGGATGTTAATTTAAATATTCTCTTTGCAAGTCAGTATACTTACGTGTTGCTTAAATAAGAAATATATAAATATAAATATATTTTTGGGTCACCCTGCCTCGGTGGGAAATGAACGATGTGTTGAAAAAAAGTTAATAAAAATTGCCAGAAATAATGTACCTGCACACATGTTATAAACCTGCCCTCCAGTGTGGTATGGTTGGTATAGTAGTGTTTGTGAGTGCTAGATGTCAGCCCTGCAACCAAGTACTGAGTATAATGGCCTAATTTTCAGATTTTATAAATGTAGTTAAAAGATTAGTTAGTTTCTGTGCTACTCTTATCTGTTATTGTAGTTTTTTCAGCATTTGTTTCTTTGTCTTTCCTTATATTAATATATTAATTTTTGAATTGGTTCTTCATTTGTTATACGGCTCATTACTACTGTCATCTATACAGCCCCCCCCCCACCCCCACCCAAAAAAAAAAAAAAAAGGTGGGGAAATGGTTTTGGAATTGCTAGAGTACATATTTGTTCAGTATATGCATGAAAGATGGGAAAGTACCAAAGGATTAGTAGAGAGCATGCATAGTTCCTTTGTATAAGTGAAAAGGGGTCAAAATAAGATGTAAGAATAATAGGGAAATAAACCTGTTGAATATACCAGGTATAAAGTATATGGTAGAATTATTATTGAAAGAATTAGGGATAAGACAGAGTGCAGGATTACAGATGATCAAGGAGGATTTAGGAAGGATAGGAGCTGTGTAATCCAAGTGTTTACATTGAGGAATATCTTTATTGCAGTTATGGATTAACCCTTTCAGGGTCCAGACCCCCAATCTGGAACTTGTCCACAGGGTCCAAGAATTTAAAAAAAAAAAAATTCTTATGAAATGGTAGAGCATCTTTTTCTGAAGGTAATAAAACAAAAAATGTGAAATTTGATGGAAAATTGACGAAATTATGCTCTCACGAATTTTGCTGCATCAGCGATATTTACGCATCGGCGATTTTGCCCAATTTGACTCCCATTTTAGGCCAATTATGTTATTCCAGTCAACCAAATTCTTAACTATTTCACTAGTATTACTTCTATTTTATCGATTGAGCACAAGAAATGGTCCAGCAACTTTTTCAAATACCCAGTAAAGTGATCAGAAATTGGTAATTTGGTAAATTTCACACAAAGTTCAAAATATTCCAATTTCAAAATAGGGTCCAGAATAAACAATACAGGCATTCCTGGCACTAAAATAACATTGCCTCTGTTCATTAGTTACATTTCCAGGCTTTACAAATGAATTCCATTTTGATTTTTTATTCACACCAAAAATAGAAGATTTACTGTTATGCAATATTGTAATAATTGCATAAATCATATCAGCGCCTTTGTGAATGCACATTTGTTTACTCTTGAACATCGGCAAAAATTGAACATTTCCGCTACTTTGAGCTCAGTTTCAAGCCATTTTCAGTAAAAAAACAAATCAAACTCATCTCTATTTCTGTAATATATCTTTCATTTTATCAAATGAGACCAAGAAATTGCTAATACAACTGTAAAAAACATACGAAGAAACACCGCAAAGTAGCTGTTTTAGCCCTTTCACTGTCCAGACCCCTGCTCACAAACTTGCTCTCAGTGTCAAAGAATTTAAAAAAAAAAAATTCTTATGAAATTATAGAGAATCTTTTCCGAATGGTAATGACACCAAAAGTATGAATTTTTATGGAAAACTTGCAGAATTAGGCTCTCGCAAAGTTAGCGGTCTCGGCGATATTTATGCATTGGTGATTTTGCCCACTTTGTACACTATTTTTGGCCAATTCCATTGTTCCAGTCGATCAAACTCATAGCTATTTTGCTAGAACTATTTTTGTTCTATCGATTGAGTACAAGAAACTGCCCTTTTACTACTGAATAAAGTGGTCAGAAATTGGTAATTTGCCCAATTTTGTACAATTCAAGGAAGGCCAGTTTCAAATAGGGTCCAGAATTAACAATGCAAACATTCCTAGCACTAAAATAACATTTTCTCTGTTCATTAGTCATGTCTACAGGTCCCAAGTAAACGAGAATACAACCATTAATACCATACGAAAGTACACCACACAGTTGCTGTTTTAAATGAAAAACGCGGTTAGTTTTTTTTTTCTCATTATGCACTGCGTGCTGCAGAATTTTTTTTTTATAATGTGCACACTGACCACTCAGACCTATTCTCTCATATGTAGGCCTGCCAACTTTCTCCTGCAAGATTGAAAGTCACTAGAATTTTGGCGTACTATTATGGGACCAACACTGGTTTGCAAGTTGTAATATTATGGGACCGACAGTGAAACAGTTCATCCAAAAATACGGCCACAGTTTTTTTTTCTGATTATGCACTGCATGCTACAGGATTTGTTTTGAGGTGCATACCACATAAATGTATTCTCTCATATCTAGGCCAAAATTTACTGCACCTCTGCAAAAACAGTGATTATGTGTGAGTGAGGTGAAAGTGTTGAATGATGATGAAAGTATTTTCTTTTTGGGGATTTTCTTTCTTTTTTGGGTCACCCTGCCTCGGTGGGAGACGGCCAACTTGTTAAAAAAAAAAAAAAAAAAAAAACTTGTCTGAGCTGAGCTCATGGTGTAGAGCTATGGCTTGGACCCTGGCTTCAAAGCCTTAGAACTAGAGGATGGACCCTCAGAGGGTTAAGAGAAGACATATGACAGCATGGGTAGGGGATAATTTTTTGGATGTTGCACATGTATAGAATTAGTAGTAGGTTACTAAAAGCAGTAGAGATTTTATGCAGAAAGTGAGGCTCACTTTTGGATATGTAACAGGGAAAAAATTATTTTTCAGTAACTGGATCTGTGATGTTACCAAAGTGTTCAATATATTTATACACTGTTGTAAAAGAAGTAAATGATAAGGTGTTGGGGAGAGGTGTTGACTCAAAAGATAATGAGTGTAGTTCAGAGTTGGAGTTGTCACTTGCGATGTCTGCACACTTGGCAAGACAAATATTGAGTGAATAATTATGAATGTTTCCATTTTTGGGGAGGAAGTTGTGCAAGAAGGGTATACAATACCAACAAGATGAAAGTTAAGACACACGTGAAAAATCTGGTTATCTTCATTGTAGACGTTTTGCCATCCAGTGGCTTTATCAATACAGATTCTAGGACACATCTAGAAGACAATGGAACTATATACAAAAGATGAGGTAATCAGTCCCTCAGCCTTGGCGTTGGTGTGAAGAGCACCATGCATAGGGATGGGTAGGAGGAGAGGGCATTGTCACTGGTAGGCTGGATTCCCCAGTGGAAGTAGGTCATACCTAAAAGGATGGGTTAGTTGTAGTCGTGAAGTAGGTCATGTAGATGTCCACTGAATCAAGATTCCATGATGTTGCATTGTCTGACAAGTTGTGCAAGAAAGGTATACACTACCGACAAGATGTCGGTACTACAACTAACCCATCCCTTTGGGTATGACCTACTTCCACTGGGGAATCCCGCCTACCAGTGACTAGGCCCTCATCTGCTACCTGTCCTTATCAACTGACACCTATATAAGCACCAGCCTCCTTGCCTGTGCTCCAGAATCTCTACAACCACAGTGCTCTTCACACCAACTCCAAGGCTGAGGGACTGATTACCTCATATTTTGTATATAGTTCTACTGTCTTCTTGTTGTGTCCTAGAATCTGTATTGATAAAGCCACTGGATGGCAAAATGTCTACAATAAAGATAATCAGATGTTGCACATGTGTCTTAACTTTCATCTTGGTGGACGTTGCGTGATATAGTAAAAAAAAATTGTGATGTACGTTATCATAATACACCTACCATCCGACTTACGACCTGCTCGACTTACGACCTGCTCGGCTTACGACCGCTCGACTTACGACCGTGTTTTTTATGCCAAATTTCTGGGAAATAAACAACTATTTGTGTTGTACACAGTGTTTATCCTAAACCTTGCAGTATAAAATACAGTACTAACAACATAAAAAGTAAAGTAAAACATGAAATACCAAAATAAAACAATAAAATAGTCATTACAAAAATGTTTTGTTGATATTCAGTAGTAAAGTTCGACTTACGACCATTTCGACTTACCACCGGTTTCTCGGAACCGAACTCGGTCGTAAGTCGGATGGTAGGTGTAAAAGACCCTTTCTATTTTTCCTTTATTTTGGCTCAACTTTAAAAAGAAAATTTGGGAAGCCTGTTTCATCTGTTTCATTGATTTATCTGGGATGGAGAAGAATTGATATGTGCCATATCTCAGGCATTATTGTTTATGCACAAAATATATTTGGTTTTCTTTGCATTAGATTGCAGTAGATCATATGCTTTTGCATCTTTCCTTAAAGTTATTGATTTTTTTCTGGCAGGTTTCCACTACAGCTAGAGAATGGTCAAACTGTTGAATGCACCGTTGCTAAATATTTCCTTGACAAATACAAAATGAAACTCAGGTTCCCGCATTTGCCCTGCCTCCAGGTCAGTTACATTTATTTAATTACTGTAGGGTATATTGTGTAACTGATTGTATAAATGTGATGGAACTGTGAATGCTATAAATGAGTTATTATAAAACTGTATTAATAACAGTTATTTCTTTGTCTAAGAAGTCTGTTTTTTAGGTGGGTCAAGAACACAAACATACGTACCTTCCTCTGGAGGTGTGCAATATTGTTCCTGGTCAGCGTTGTATTAAGAAGCTTACTGATATGCAGACATCGACCATGATCAAGGCCACAGCACGATCAGCTCCAGACAGAGAGAGAGAGATAAATAATTTAGTTCGAAAAGCAGATTTCAATAATGATCCATACATGCAAGAATTTGGTTTAACGATCAGTACAGCAATGATGGAGGTAAGTGGTGGAGTAAAATTACAATACAGCCCCACCTTACGGCGTTCTGCTAATACGGACATTTCAAATTATATGACCAAAACTCGCTCTATGGCTCTTCCCACCTGACTTTCTAATAGTCACCACACCTCACCCAGTTTGTTTACATTCTCTGTGAGCTCTGTAAACACCACGTCTCTCCATTATGTCTGGAAACTTCAAAATTTCAAGTGTTTTTTTAAAGTTATTTCATATTTAATGTATACTATGATAATTATACTTATGTATACCTGTACCTAAATAAACTTACGCACTGTGCTGGCATGCAGGTACACATTAAAATCAGTAAGAGTGTCTTATGTCTCGAGAGGCCATATTAGTAATGATAATAATAATAATAATCACTGAGTCTCATTAAATGTCGTATATTACGTTAATATACACATTTTCATTAATCTGTATTTTCTGAAAATCATATAATAACACAATATGTAACATAACATGATAAATACACCCCACAGTAGAACAAATTAACATAAATACGAAATGTGGTAGCCAGACGACTTGTACAAGTGACAGCAAGAATAACTTTTTCTGTAGTCCAATATCAGAGAAAATGTGTTACTAGGGGTAGCTGTAGAAAATTATTCCTTTTGTATGCCTTCACTCAGAGCATCATTTCTTCTAAAAATGGTGCTACATGAGAATGGGAGTGTTCCTCTTTATTTATTCTACTGTATCACCCGCAGAGACAACTTGTACACAATGTAACTTGTACACAAACCAGACATGTTCGCCTGGTTTGTTTACAAAACTCACGCGCGCCTGGTTTGTTTACATAACTCCTTGAGTGTCCACTCTTGTACTCATTCTCTCTCTCATTTATTTGTTTTATCTCGTTTACTCACCTCTGACCCTACATTAAACCACAAATATTTTAAGATAAGTGATGAGTGAACTGTACATCCATTTTAACGCTCTGGGACACTTAACCCTTTCAGGGTTAAAGAAAGGTGAAGAGAGTGGTGAGAGAGTGCAGAAGGAGAGCTGATGATAGAGTGGGAGTGGCACTGTCAAGAAATTTTGATGAAAATAAGAACAAATTTTGGAGTGAGATGAACAAGTTAAGAAAGCCTTGGGAATGAATGGATTTGTCAGTTAAAAACAGAGTAGAGGAGTTAGTGAATATTTTGAGGAACTTTTAAATATCGATGGTGAAAGGGAGGCGGTAATTTCATGCACTGTCCGGGTAAGTATAACATCTTTTAGGAGTGAAGAAGAGCAGGATGTGAGTGTGGGGGAGGTGTGTGAGGCATTACGTAGAATGAAAGGGGGTAAAGCAGCTGAAACTGACGGGATCATGACAGAAATGTCAAAAGCAGGGGGGGGGGATATAGTGTTGAAGTGGTTGGTATTTTTGTTTAATAAATGTATGAAAGAGGGGAGGGTACGTAGGAATAGGCAGAGAGCTTGTATAGCTCCTTTATATAAAGAGGAGGAGGACAAAGGAGATTGTAAAAATTATAATAGGAATAAATTTACCAAGTATACCAGGAAAAGTGTACAGTAGGGTTATTATTGAAAGAATTAGAGGTAAGACAGAGAGGATTGCAGATGAGCAAGGAGGCTTTAGAGTGGGTAGGGGATGTGTAGATCGGGTGTTTACATTGAAGCATATATGTAAACATATTAAGATAAAGGTAGGGAAGTTTTCATTGCATTTATGGATTTAGAAAAGGCATATGACAGAGTGGATAGAGGAGCAATGTGGCAGTTGTTGCAAGTATATGGAATTGGTAGTAAGTTAATTAATGCTTTAAAGAGTTTTTATGAGGATAGTGAGGCTCAGGGTGCGTAGAAGAGAGGGAGATTACTTCCCAGTAAAAGTAGGTCTTAGACAGATGTTTAATGTCACCATGGTTGTTTAATATATTTATGGATGGGGTTGTAAAAGAAGTACAGTGGACCCCCGCATAACGATGGCATCACATAGCGATTATTCCGCATACCGCTTACTTTAATCGCAAAATTTTTGCCGCGCATACCGATTAAAAACCCGCTCACCGATTTTCGTCCGAGACGCGTCCAATGTGCGCCCTCAGCCAGCCTCACATGTGCCGCCCGTGCCATTGTTTACCAGCCAGCCTCCACGGTAACATCCAAGCATACACTCGGAATATTTCGTATTATTACAGTGTTTTCGGTGCTGTTTCTGGAAAATAAGTGACCATGGGCCCCAAGAAAGCTTCTAGTGCCAACCGTACACCAATAAGGGTGAGAATTCCCATTGAAATGAAGAAAGAGATCATTGATAAGTATGAAAGTGGAGTGCGTATCGCCGACCTAGTCAAGTTGTACAAGAAACCCCAATCAACCATCGCTACTATTGTGGGCACCAGAAAGACAATCAAGGAAGCTGTTCTTGCCAAAGGTTTAACTGGTTTTCGAAACAAAGATCGCAAGTGATGGAAGATGTTGAGAGACTCTTATTGGTGTGGATAAATGAAAAACAGCTAGCAGGAGATAGCGTCTCTCAAGCGATCATATGTGAAAAGGCTAGAAGTTGCATGAGGATTTAATTAAAAAAATGCCTGCAACTAGTGATGATGTGAGTGAATTTAAGGCCAGCAAAGGTTGGTTTGAGAGATTTAAGAAGCGTAGTGGCATCCATAGTGTGATAAGGCATGGTGAGGCTGCCAGTTGGACCACAAAGCGCTGAAAAATATGTGCAGGAATTCAAGGAGTACATAGACAGTGAAGGACTGAAACCTGAACAAGTGTTTAATTGTGATGAAACAGGCCTGTTCTGGAAGAAAATGCCAAGCAGGACCTACATACTCAGGAGGAAAAGGCACTCCCAGGACATAAGCCTATGAAAGACAGGCTTACTCTTCTCATGTGTGCCAATGCTACTGGTGATTGCAAAGTGAAGCCTTTATTAGTGTATCACTCTGAAACTCCCAGAGCGTTCAGGCAAAAGAATGTCCTCAAGGATAATTTGTGTGTGCTGTGGAGGGCAAACAGTAAGGCATGGGTCACTAGGAATTTTTCTATAACTGTTACACCATGCATTTGCCCCCAATGTGAAAGATTACCTAACTGAAAGAAATTAGAACTTAAGTGCCTCCTGGTGTTAGACAATGCCCCTGGTCATCCTACAACGTGGCAGAGCGACTTATGGGGACATGAGCTTCATTAAGGTGAAGTTTTTGCCTCCTAATACCACTCCTCTCCTGCAGCCCATGACCAGCAGGTTATTTCCAACTTCAAGAAACTGTACACAAAAGCTCTGTTTGAAAGGTGCTTTGTAGTGACCTCAGAAACTCAACTGACTCTAAGAGAGTTTTGGAGAGAGCACTTTAATATCCTCAATTGTGTAAACCTTATAGGTAAGGCTTGGGAGGGAGTGACTAAGAAGACCTTGAACTCTGCTTGGAAGAAACTGTGGCCAGAATGTGTAGACAAAAGGGATTTTGAAGGGTTTGAGGCTAACCCTGAGATGATTATGCCAGTTGAGGAATCCCATTGTGGCATTGGGAAAGTCCTTGGGGTTGGAGGTTAGTGGGGAGGATGTGGAAGAGTTGGTGGAGGAGGACAATGAAGAACTAACCACTGATGAGCTGATAGATCAACTTCAAGAGCAAGAGGCCAGACCTGGGGAAACTGGTTCAGAGGAGGGGAGAGAGAAATTGAAGAAGTTGCCTACTACAAAGATTAAGGAAATCTGTGCAAAGTGGCTTGAAGTGCAAACCTTCATGGATGAAAATCACCCTCACACAGCTATTGCAAGCCGTGCTGGTGATTATTACACTGACAATGTTGTGAAACACTTTAGGCAAGTCATAAAGGAACGAGAGGTACAGGCCACTATGGACAGATATCTTGTGCGAAAGAAGTCCAGTGACTCTGAAGCTGGCCCTAGTGGCATTAAAAGAAGAAGGGAAGTAACCCCAGAAAAGGACTTGCTACCTCAAGTCCTAATGGAAGGGGATTCCCCTTCTAAACACTAACACTCTCTCTCCCCTCCTCCCATCCCATCAATCATCACCAGATCTTCAATAAAAGTAAGTGTCATGTAAGTGTGCATGCCTTTTTCAGTTTGTGTGTATTAAAATTAACATTTCATGTGGTAAAAAATTTTTTTTTTCATACTTTTGGGTGTCTTGCACGGATTAATTTTTTTTTTTATTTATCACACTGGCCGATTCCCACCAAGGCAGGGTGGCCCGAAAAAGAAAAACTTTCACCATCATTCACTCCATCACTGTCTTGCCAGAAGGGTGCTTTACACTACAGTTTTTAAACTGCAACATTAACACCCCTCCTTCAGAGTGCAGGCACTGTACTTCCCATCTCCAGGACTCAAGTCCGGCCTGCCGGTTTCCCTGAATCCCTTCATAAATGTTACTTTGCTCACACTCCAACAGCACGTCAAGTATTAAAAACCATTTGTCTCCATTCACTCCTATCAAACACGCTCACGCATGCCTGCTGGAAGTCCAAGCCCCTCGCACACAAAACCTCCTTTACCCCCTCCCTCCAACCCTTCCTAGGCCGACCCCTACCCCGCCTTCCTTCCACTACAGACTGATACACTCTTGAAGTCATTCTGTTTCGCTCCATTCTCTCTACATGTCCGAACCACCTCAACAACCCTTCCTCAGCCCTCTGGACAACAGTTTTGGTAATCCCGCACCACCTCCTAACTTCCAAACTACGAATTCTCTGCATTATATTCACACCACACATTGCCCTCAGACATGACATCTCCACTGCCTCCAGCCTTCTCCCTCGCTGCAACATTCATCACCCACGCTTCACACCCATATAAGAGCGTTGGTAAAACTATACTCTCATACATTCCCCTCTTTGCCTCCAAGGACAAAGTTCTTTGTCTCCACAGACTCCTAAGTGCACCACTCACTCTTTTTCCCTCATCAATTCTATGATTCACCTCATCTTTCATAGACCCATCCGCTGACACGTCCACTCCCAAATATCTGAATACGTTCACCTCCTCC